TGTGGTGCATTTAAATAAATAAATAGATATGCTGGTAAGTTTTGCAGAGGGCCTTCTCGAGTAATGCAAATGAGCTTGACATGTAAAATGATTTTCATGTTGTATGTTATCCATGTGAAGAGAATTCTTCTTTAAGGGCTCTGTAGTATATTGTAGATGTTTTGAAAGGGATATCTTTTCTCCTGATGTGAAGGTTAATGTTCTGCTCATAAATCTGAGCTTATAGGACTGCACTGTAAACCTGACCACTTTTTTTATGATACAGAAATAACTTGGAAGTTTCTATACATGCCACTTGCTCATTGCTAATTCTGCACCACAGCCTTTCATTTCTGCAACTGTGGTGGTTGAAAGTGGGGATGTGTTCTAGGTCAAATCTGCTTTATGGTTTGTGTGACCTTATAGGTAGTTCTGGGTCCCAGGTGAATGTAGAGTAGCTAGCTATTAGAGAAGCTAGCAGCTCATGAAACTACAGAGTGTAATATATCTTGTTTTAGGACTATTGTAGAGTACTTTGTACGAAACATTAGAAGGTATGTAAGATTACCAAGGTGCTTCTTTCACTTTTTTCAAGTGTTAAACTCCTTTCAGATGGCCTGTCCTGCTGTCTGTAGTGTTCTTGCTTGGTTTCCCCCATTTAGTGGTGCTGAAGCTTGAAACAAATGTTCTCATGTCCCATTTTTAGTGTATAGAAAACTTAACTTCATTCTCTAACTCTTTGTTGCTCTGAGGGTTTGTTTTTTTTGTAAATGTATCTTAAGTGGTCTTTTTTTTTGTAAATACTAAGTAATGTATTGTAAATGCCAACTTAACCTATTTTACTAAACAAATTATGTATAGCTTGTATTGCAATGACATGGGTCCAGGACTTGCGTCAACAGCCAGACAGTTACTCTTTGTACATCTAGAAAAATTTTCACAGCCAGGGTTTATTGGTCTTAATTAACCACCAGCAAAAGTATTCTTAAAATTAGTGCCATTATGGAGCCATAGTTGTCTTTGGGGCAGAGCAGCAGACAGATGAGGATCCTCTGGTGTCTTCTGCCATTGACCTATGTAATTGCACAGATCACTTCCATTTTCATGTCTTACATGTTACAAGAGGAGTCACTGAAGTACACTGACCTGCTATATGACCTGTCAAACTGCTCTTTGGGTGTAGCTGCTGTGATGATGTGGGGACTGTCATGGTTCATGCAAGACTTGTTAGTCTGTACCTGCTTTCACAACTTATTTTATTATTTCCCATCTTACTAAGCAGCTTTTGTAATGTGTACTACAGTAGGGTCTGAACAGTTTTAAGATTACATGTCTGATGACAGAGTTTGTGTGGACTAATTTTGGTTTAATAAGTAAAAATGAAGTATTTTATTCTAGGCAGAAGTAGAATAACTTTGTAGACTGGCTTTTAATTTACATGTAGGGAGGCTATGGCACTGAAAGTAGGCTTCAGAGGAAAAGTATTTCAACTGCAAGATCCTAGCCTGTCTTTATGAGACTTGGAAATAGTCTGTAGTTACTCTGTGGCTTTGGTTCCGTATGTATAAAATAAGGATAAAATTACTTGTTTTGTGTCCAGCTATGGGTTTCGATACTCAAATTGTATTACAGCAATAGTAGGAATTTCAGTGCTGTGCCAGTGATCCTCTTTATGAAGAAAGTGTTAAAGGCAGCCAAACAATTACAAGCTCCGTTGTGATGAAACCTGTTTCTAGTGCATGCTCAGGTAACATTGTCTTGTATTTCTTATATGATCCTACAACTGGACCACTTGCAGAATTTAACTATTTATTTATTTATTTAAAGATGGAAGAAATGTATAAAAAAGCCCATGCTGCTATACGGGATAATCCAGTCCATGAAAAGAAACCCAAGAGAGAAGTCAAGAAAAAGAGGTAAAACTCTCATCTTCGCTTAACATGAATGTGTCTTCTCTGTTGGAAGATATTTTAGTTACATTAAAACAAGTCATGTGGTCTATGGTGCAGTTGTGTCAGAATTCACGTGTTAGACCAGATTAAGATACGAGCATTTCTGTGTAACCGTCAAGAGCTAACATAAGCAGTAGAAATTAAAATTTAAGAACCCTCAACTATATGTATATAAAAAAAAAAAGAGAAATGGCACATGCTTATTGCCTGAAGAGCTGGAACTCTTAGGTGTGTATATTTAAGTCTTAATGTTTTCAGTGAGAAAGGTGCTTCTCTTCAGGAGAGGGCTGGCTGACTAATTTGTTGGTACTAAACTACTGTGATTTTTCAAGGGAAGTAATAAAGACAAAGCTATTGTATTAGGCTTGATACTGGCTATAATCACAGAAACAGTATTGAGCTTACCTTTTGAGGAATTAAACTGCTGCAGTCTCACTGTGCCTTTTTGGGGTGTCCTAACCAGAGCCTTAAATCATTACAAGGAAATTGTGTGTTCCAGAGGATTATGTTCTAGCATAGCACTTGTAATCACAGTTCTGGTTCATTGCAGCTTTCTTGACCACCATTGTGTTTATTTCTGCCTTGGATATCTCACACATTGTGCTTACATTGCAGGTGGAACTGTCCCAAGATGTCCCTTGCCCAGAAGAAGGACCGTGTTGCTCAGAAGAAGGCAAGCTTTCTCAGGGCCCAGGAGCGCACAGCTGATAGTTAAGACAACTTCCACAATTTTCTATGACACTTTGGAAAAAGTGGCAATAAATTTATTGTGTAAGGAACGGTGTAAGACTGGCTAATTTATTTATCTATCAAAGATTCAGAATATTTTTTTATCATCCAGATATTCTGCAGTCTTAGGGGTTTTTTCCTCCCCTTCAAAGTACTGTATGGATTGAACTTCCTCCCAGAGAAGAGAGGTGACTTCAAGGCTTCTGCATTAGAATTGCTTCCAGAAGAAGGGGAAATTAATTTCATTTATTTTTGGTGTGACTACTGTTAAAGACTAGATGTAAGAACTTGCTGCTTCTAATTACAAGATTATTCTAAATTTTTAAAAAGAACTTTACATGTCCTTCACTGTTTTTCTTTCAGCATATTTAGTGTTATGGAGGACTCTGTATGTGGCTTAAGAAAAAAGCAGTAGTAGGCCCATCTGGTTCTAAAGCCCCAGGTTCAGGTAGGCTACATGGATGAATGTCTTGCTTTAAGACACAGAGGGTAGGTATTGCTCTTGAAAGATAAAAGGAGGCCTGTGATTTATTATAAACAAAAGTGTGGGGTTTTCTTTTCCAATGAAAGCTCCAGTTTGAGGCAACAGCAATAAAAGTGATGGTTCTGTACATAAAACTACACCATTGAACGCTTTCCAGTTTACCCAGCATGATTTTGGATTCAGTAACCTCTTCCCAAAACCCAGCAGCAATCACAGTCGGATTTTTCCACCAAGAACATGACCACATTTGAGTGCAGCATGGCTGGAGAACATTATCAGGTTAGAGACAATAATTAGCATTAGCATAGTAATTCCTCAACTAAAAAGCTGATGTTTACAAAAAAGGACACTCGTAACCCAAGCTGCATGCTCTTACAGATGGTATGGAGAAATTACGTTATGTTGGTCCTGTACTTCAGGTTAATAATTCAAGGTATGCATTAAATACAGGATACATAAAGCAATTAGCAACCTTGCAAATATTTCAATAAATCTTGTCCTTACTTATGCTGAAAATGAATTGAAGGGACATGATTTAAAACTATAGGGATGGCTGCCATTAAAATAATTAATGATGGAACTACTTCATACCTAGAACACTTGTAAATGAAGCATTAACAGTTAAGTATTGAGCATAGCATTGTGTTTTATGAACATCCCAATTCTGTGTAATTGTGAAAATAGATGTAAATCGGAGAAACAACAGGGATGCAGATTAAAGGTAGTACAGTAGTTGTGCCATGTGGAATGCCAGGATCAGATGGTGTTTATTTACTCAGGACTTGAGACTTTACAATGACTTGCAGATGGTATGAGAAAAAACAATAAACACTACAGCTCACTTATATTCCACCTCAATTCTAGCTGTTTGAGTCTCATAGGCTCCCATTTAAGCAATATTTCATGATCCTGAACAACACAGCTTCAGTCCTACAGTTCAGGTCTAGTTCTTGCTTACATATTTCCTGCAATAGTTCAAGAGGAGTTAAGTACAAGTCTACCTAAATTTGGAGGGACAGTAAAGGGTGAAGGCTTTATCCACATCTATTGTGTGTTTCACAGCAGATTCCTAGACTATGCAAACTTTCCTTTTTTCAACTGTTGGGGCATTTCTGCTTCCACTATTTTTAAAAATAATTCAGTTCTCATAGCTTAGTCCACAAACTTAACTACTTTTCAGTATTTGCTACAGCTTAATCTGGGTTAAAGGTTTCAACTGAAGTACAATAATTGCAGCTTGGAGCAGATGTGTTGATCTCTCCCCTACACTGTGTATGTGATTGTAAGAAATAACATTCTAAAATTCTTGGCTCCCAATATGATTGACTGTATAAGGACTTAATTTTAAAAGTGTTGAACTACTTAAACATTCAAGATGTAAGCATGAGGTTACATGGTGTAAACAGAATCTGATTTGTCTCATTAGAACCTGTCAGGTCTAGAATAAAATTCTAATTTTCCACAGTTTAAAAATCATTAATGTGCAAATTCTGCCATGCCAAGGTAAACATGAGTCTCACAGTTCAGTTTATTCACAACAGCAACTTGGACTCAGACACGTTATTTGCAGTAGTGGTTCTTCATAAGTCTCATTAGGATAAAAACCTTTTGCAGGTGTTTCACAAGCGACCAATGATTTTCACATAATCGTACGATGTTCCTTCACTTGATGTGGTGGCACAGTGAACACTTTCATCCCATTCAAGATCTGACAAAGTGCACAGAACAGTCAAGCATGCAGGGTTTTTGTTTCCATAACACAGAACTGGAACACCACAAGTGCTTCTGTCCTCTGCCCAATCATTCAGTGGCATGTTCGTTCCTTAAGAAGCACTGTCATAAGGTACTGGCTGAAGGGTAAGAATTAAAGAGCCATTCATGAACTCTTGAGTAAAGAAATGTCTTTAAAAAATGCTGCAGATCATTCTTATCAAATGTGATAGGCCACCTCTAGTGGCAGGCATCAGGATCTTCTGCTGGTGAAGAAGTTAAGAATCATTTGTATGGGAAATTTTCTTCCATAGTAAAGTTTTTAAGTTATTGAGTATTAAAGAATGCTCCATTTCCATCTGATTTGCTGTGACTTTAAGGGCAATACACAAATACAGTTGTTTTTCTAGTTCTTCACGGATATCAGAAGGAGCACCACGAAGCAGATAGTCTTTAAGTAGCTGACAGGCTTTTGCCAAGTTTGGCTGAATTACTTCTGTGGTACATCTCATTTTGCTCTGGTCACAGAGAGTTCTACAGTCTGTACCATAAATACAGTCCAAATCTGATTCACACTGACGATCTTTAATTATTTCCTTCAAATTAATTTCTGGAACAATTTTTCTCATGTCCATCATTTTCAAGTCATATTTATCATTATAGCCCAAGATTTTGGCACTGGTATCGCACATAAGAAAGTTTCCATAAGGTCCATGGAAAATATCTTCTACAAATTCTAAAAGCCCGATAGCTATTTTTGCCTTTCTTGGCCAAGATGGTGTAAACCATTGGTCCATGCTTCTCCTGAAGCCAGAAGGAATTAAAAGTTCTATAATCCATGGAAGGCTGATTCCATAGAGAGAGGTATATTCAACTCTTTCAGTCACATAGAGATCCCCACAAAAGCCCATCAACTTGGGAGTATGTTCTTTATCCTGCAAGATCACCATTAACAGAAACTCATCTAGCTGTAGAAGTGCCCATGCAGATTTTGCCTCTGGCAAAGAAACTCTGCCATCTTTGTTTCCATCAGCAAAAGACAGGATGAGATTAACCAGTTCTGAAAGATTTCCTTGTTCGCCCAATTTTGCCTAAAAGCAACAAACAAAAAAGATTTAATTATGATTTAATTAACCACCACTGATCCACCTGACATTCTACCTCCTGTTACTCTCCTTCTATGGATAGCATGGTAGGGTATATTATGTTCTTGTTTTCATTGGTTATAGATGTTACAGGACTTGCTACCAGATGCCTGAAGAGCTTCCTTTTTGTTCTGTTAAAAACTGTACAAGTAAAATGTTTAGATCAGTTTTAGTTTTCAGATTATTAAACCTTATAGGTGTAGAGAAATTTCAGTATCAAACTACATTTTGGCCAACTATAAAAAGTACCAAGATACAGTGGGTACAAATCCTATATGGTAAAGTGTCCTGAAAAAATTAATTTTGTTATTTGAAATAACCACCTCCATGGTATCAATACAGAGAAATAAGCCATGGCTGGATCAGAACTGTTGCATTTTCAACTACCATCAACACACACAAGAAGTCAGACAAACTTTACCCAAATTCTCCTAAAAATCTACTCTAAACCACCTGTTACTCACTCATTCTTAAAGGCAAAGCTACTGTAATGCATGACAACTGTAATCAGCTATACATAGTTGTGTTGTACTTGAATGCATGTGTACACATGCTCATTCAGCTAGAGCAGCATTATTTCCATCACTGGGGCATAGGAGCTATGACAACAACAAGAGAATTAATTTTACAAAATAAAATCCAAAATCAGTAGAGACACAGCATTGAAGTGATAACTACATTATGAAAGTATCACATTAGTATAACACAGAAAGAACTAGGAGAAGTATGGCTGGTCATTCTTTGAGAGATCCCTGCTGCTCAGCTAGCATAGTAACCCTTCCCAAGTGTGAACAGTTTTTCAGTTGTGCTTCAGTCTTTGTACCTGATCACAATAACCCCAAAAGCAGCCAAGTGGTTTTTTAACCATATTTTCTATACAAATAAAAGTGAAAGCTGTAGAAATGAAAGATGCATACTAGCTTCCCTCTGTTAAAAACTAAGGAAAAAACCTGATCATTAGTTACTTCAGACATTGAAAGAGGTACCTCTAGGAAAAACAATTTCTGTTATGATTATTTTTCTAATGTGCACACAATAGGTATTTTCTCCAGCATCTGGAAAATAAGCCTTTCTGTCAGAACAAATGAGCATGTACTTACTTTAAAAAGACCATAAACCATTTCTTTGAATTTCTCAACAGTGGTTCCTCTTGTTGGTTTATCAAATAGGACTATTTCCTTCCTTGGTTCTGGGTCAGTACCAAAATCAAGTTGAGCAGCTTCTTCCATCTGGCATTTTATAACACTTTGAAGATTTCCCCAGATTCCTAAATACATCTATGCAAGAAAAGAGGGCAAAGGAAAAGAAACACTTTAGAAGTCCATCATCTAAAGATCACCTCTACTCCAACCACTGCTTCAAGAGTCAAGTAGCAACACAGATTATAAACTTGCTCCTACATCCAGACAGTGCACAGGGAACATTCAGACAAGAGCAGTTTCAGATACAATTCACTCCTGCAGGTACTTTGGAGACACCACACCATCAAAATAGAAAGAGGGCTTGATACACAGTGTATTGGCATTACTAACACCTTTGTCTAGGTTGCTAAGAGATTGTTTCTTCTATTTGGGAAGCAGGATAGCAGAGTAGTAGTATGCTATACAGAAGTATAGGTATTCTGTCAAAACATGGAAGGACCCAGTATATTATACATATGCTTATAAAACACATGCATTATAAAAGAATAACATTTCCCCCTACATACAGGAATAATATATGTGTAATATATGTGTGTATGCATACTGTATGTAATATATTATTAATATAGGATATATAAAAATATATATATATATAAACATGCTCTGCATGTCACAACAAACAAGTTTGAAATAATTTGTATCAGACAGACACTGCTGACACTAAAGTCTGCTTCACGTTCTAAGGAATGACATTTCAGTGGGAAATAATAAAACTAGTTGGATGTGTAAAGCCTTACCTGGTTATTGGGCCTTGTTGACAAACATTTTCCAAAATACAATGTTTCTTTAGCACAAAGACTGCTACATGCTGACCCATCAATAACTCCAGTCTTGTATTTATCACACTGAAACAAACAGGACAAAAGTATTTTTCTGATTGCCCAAGAAAAGAGGCAACAACTATGTCTCTCCCAACATCTGACTCTTGAAAGAAAAAAAAAAAAATCTAAGAAAACATTTTAAATACCGTCTACCAAAACAATGTTAAGAAACATGACTGGTTTTATCTGTAATTGAAGAGGTAATCTTACTTCAACATGCTGGACTATCAGAATTTAATTAATTTACATGGGCCACTGGCTGAATTTGCTCTGGAAATAGTCAGGAAAAACACTTAAGAAAGCTATGCTAAATATACTTACTATTATTTTCCTACAGTCATGTCCTCTGCATAGTTCTGTGTAGGTGGAGTACTGAACATACATAACCCAGCTGCCAATAAATACTACTAACCAAGAGATGAAGAGATACTTCATCCGCATATATGAGAAACGTACCTAGAGGACACAGAGAGAAAATATTCTTTGTGATTCATTCAGCAATCACAATAATAAAAACTAACATGATTTACTATTTCACCTTTAAGAATTCGACTTCCACAGTGCTAACAGGCAGACTGCATTGCATGGAACATTTGCTTCCTTCAGTGAGCAGAAATGTCAGGGGAGATCAGTTTGACTTACGTAGGCAAAAGGAAAATTAAGATATAAATAAAATAAAACATGACAGACCCTCAGAGGGCAAGCCAGGCTGCAAGAACAAGTCTGATCAAAATCTTAAACTGTCAGAGCTCAAGTAGCTGCGGGGTTTTTTTTAGGACCAGTTAGCTGTGTTCCACTCCTAGTAAACCAAATCAAACAGACCAGGAATCAGGTATAAAAATAATCAGTGTTAGTGTATAAATATGCAAGAAAGATATCCAGTGAGCAGGGTGGCTATCACGGACAGGTTCCATGTCCTGAAGTCTCCTAATCCTTCCTTGGAATTACACCATTTAATTATGCAAGTAAAATTCTTCGGTACTAGCCTCACCTTTAGTGGTCTTTCCCATAACTGTATGCAAGACTTAGCTGTTGTTTCTGTGGCCTCACATTTATATTTTTCACTAGGGACAGAGGAAAAAATAAGTATTTATATGTTAAGAATCAAGGGAGAGCCGAGTGCCTTCTAAGGGAAGAAGCACATTTTGATTTTCTCTTTTTTACTTTCTCTAAGCCTAGGTACAAATAATTTTGGAAGAAATGATCCAAGAAAGGTAATTTCCAAAACACCCAAAGGGGGATTCCAATCCATGCGGCTGTGGTCCTGCAGCCTCAGCTGTGCATCCCTCTTCCTTCATTCCATCACACACACTCACTTGACTTGATCTTAAAACTACTTAGTTGAAAGGAGAGAGAGATGCAACTAACTGCTTTTATTCTGGTGATAAAACTTGACCAGACAGTTCCTTCAACCAATTCTTTTATAGTATTTTATTGGGAGTGTTGCAAGACAGGAATAATTTCTGCTTTTTTCCTCAGAGCCACATAGACCTTAGTTGGAGTAACATAATTTGCTCTAAAGCATGGTGTCCACAATATGGGTATCAACTGGAGGGAGTACAAAAGGAGCCCAGCAATAATGCTGTGTGGTATACACATTTAGAAACCTCCTAGAAAATGTATGAGGAGGCTGGGGCTAGAGAGGACAGGAGGGCCACAAAAACAAATCTGACAGCAACAGGTTGCAGAGCATGAAAAAAAGAAAGGCCATACATAAGCCCTTCCCATTGGAAAAACACTAGTAAAGCAACAGAACTGCAAGACTTCTAGTGCAGTCTTCTAGCTTAAAAAAGACAATATACCACACCTACATGCTTGCAACATGAAGAATCACAAACTTTCTTGCAAACCATACCACTCAAATAGGCTGATGAAAAGCAGAAGTCATCCTGCATGTGAATCAGCAATGCGTGAGAAATGATACTTTATGTATGGGTTCAGAAATACTTCCCCCACCATCACCTCCTAGAGAAGAGAACTGAAAACTTAGTTCAAAGTCAGGTGGACTCAGCCTTTTCTTTCTTGCAAATAATTTTCTGTATTTAGTCATTTACAATTTTCACTTACTAGTTCTTATTTCTTTCCAGTACCTCTTTCGAGCTCTTTGCTTGGTAAGTCATAGTGTCACCCTCTTCAACCACACATTATCTGCTATTATTTTTCTTCCAATTATTTCCAGTCTATTTTCATCTGATTCTACAACACTGGCTTCACTTCCAGTGTTCTTTCACTATCTGTGCTACATTTCAAGTAAGTTTCCAGGACTACTCAGTTCCTCATCCTCTTCTTCAGTTTCTCAGCACAACTTGCCTACTTCAGAATCCTTGTCCTGAACTACTGCCCCTGTACAAAATAGCTTATCATCCACACACATCCTTCTTTCACAGCTCTGGGAAGACAGCAGAGGTGGCATAGTGAAGCACTAGAAGAGTGCCTCTCTCGTTCTCACTTCCAGAACCAAAGGAAAGCTATATGCAAGACAGACGGATTCTTTGCCTACTTTAGTTCTTATATCCAGACTACACAAAATAAAACCAAACTAGAGATCTATTCCCCAGCAGATGTGTCCCAGGAAGCCCAGGTTACCAGGCTAAAGCAGCCCTCCAGAAGAGGTCTCTTGAAACACATTTTTAACTGTGAGGTGAACCAAACCAGTAGATCAAAAACATTTAAGGTACAGGATTGAGGGAGCACCTGATCTGTATCAGTTGTGAGCAAACAGATTTTTCTCAGTCCATCTAGAGAACACAATGTGCTTTTATTTTTTTTTTGCTACCTTTGTACTTTCTGCTGGTAGAAGGCCAATTGGTACTTACGAGTTTTAGCACTTAAAAGTAAAAACTACTGTAGTATAGTCATGCAGGTTCAGTGTCTTCTGTAATAATTTACTTATTTTTATTTGCTCTTATACCACCTAAAACCTCATGGTTTCATAACCTGGACTTTAAAATGTTTTTTTCTCGTTTCAACTTAGTAATAATACTAATGAGTCCTCTGTAGTACAGTTCCTGAAATTATCTAACTAGGTGAGTCATTGATCTATTTTTACTTTGGCCTAATGTTTCTGTAACTAGATACAGCATCAAACAGAAAGCAAGATCTTCTTTGCCTTCACAAGCACAATGAGATACAGCAGCATCTGAAGAGATGTACAAAATTATTTGAAGCATGGCATTTTGATAAAATCACATCATATTCCATTATTGATAACTATGCAATGAAGACATGCTCATTAGATTTTTGTACTGATCTTTTTGTCACAACTGACTTCTAGTCAACTGAGCAAACAGCTGCTCATTATTCCCACCTTCCACACCCTTGCCCAAATCCTCTGTCAAAATTTACCGCCACATAAGTCTGTAGGAGCCAACATCCTTAACTTCTTGCATGCATACTGTACAGAGCTAACTTAAGAAATGTTGTTTTCCACCTAAGTATATACCACCAGTGTAGTGCTGTGAACCTAATCTCATACAAATCTAATCTCATTGTGCATTTCATAAAATAAATAAATCCCAAACACGACCATCACACACACACAAACACACACACCTCCACCAACAGAACTCCTGAGCATCAAATCTGAAAAGGATTTAAGCTTTTGAACAACTTATGATGTTCTATCTAAATTTGCTACCAACAAAAAAGTAAAAAGGATCCTGTTTGGCACTTCAGGTAATCTGTCTTCCTTCCTACCCAACCTCCCACGCTCTTTACTCAGCCTACAGCTGCTGAGATACACTACACACAGAAAGAAAGAACAGTAGTCTCCTAGTCTCCATGCAGTACGAGGCCTACAGCACCTGGAAAAGCTGACAGATGACATTCCTACACATAAAAGCTTTCTCCAGAAATGTACATTTTGTGGTTTTCTTCAGGAATTTTTAAAAGTAAACAGCACTACAGTACAATCATTATAATTTAAGAATTCGGTACTGAAGCTGGATGCTTCCTCTACCACATAATGTACTTTAATCTTCAAGTGTCATTCACTTATGAAGTTATAATTTGAAGAAACATAATTACTTTTTTGAATCCTACCAGAAGTTCTCATATCTTAACATACCCTCTGCACATTCTTCAAGGAAACACTTTCCCTGTAAGTCCCATTCCTCAGATAAGTCTAGGTACTCTTTCCTTCAGAGAACAAATAAAAGCATAAATTAAAAACAAGCTAAAAAATGTTTCCAATCCAAGCAAGATAATATAATTCATTAAAAACATTCAAGTTCATGATTTTCTCCTCTTAGCCACAAAGGGCAGGCTGCAACACAAGGGCAGGATCGATCCTTGGCAGGGGCAAATCAATTTAATACAAAGTGCATTCAATTACAGCCTTTGCTACTTTTTTCCTCCTCAAGACTGCTACGTATAGACAGACTGCATCCAGAATACCTGTTCTTTCAATATAAAATATATTAGTACTGTGTTTCAGGGTATGTTTCCTTCAGCATACCAGCATGTCTTCTTCCTGAGGTTTCTAGCTTACAGAAGCCAAATCTAGACCTCTAACTCCATCACACACATTTGCAGAGATTAAACTAACAGAAGAACTTTTTTTATTATGTGAAGTTCTACCCACAAACACAAAAGGATAAAGGCAGGCAGTTTTAAGTGATTCAAGCAACGTCTGTCTGAGACAGATGTTCATAAAACAAAAACCATGGGCTGCAGATTACTATGAACAAGTAACCACAAGGAGGACACAACTACCATTTACAGACACTAAATCAAAATATGTGAAGGATTATTACTCCACAGCTGCAGTCAGTCTGGAAAATAAGTCTGCAGAGAACAGGATGCTTGGGGCAGAGTTTAAACAGGAAAAATAAAGTAGCTGTTTTTTTTTCAAATTGATTTTGTTTTTAGAAGTGAACTTTTCATAAATATTTAGTTACCAAGCCCTTAATAAAATATTGCAGAAGACCTATAGGGAGAACTAAAAAAGTATTTTATCACATCCTCATTTCTACAGACAACTATGACAGTGGTCTTCCTATAGCCTCTCACAAGACTCTTCTTTACCTCTACAAAATGTCTTCTATTAATAGAATTACTGAAAATTTGAATAAAATCACTTACCTCAGTATTTTCCCACACATATATAAGAGCAAGCTCCTATGTATCAAGAATTATAGCAAATCAGTGCTAAATGATTACCTTTCATCTGTTTGAAAGGTAAGATACAATGATTACCTTTTGAGACTGGTGGGAATTTGTATTGTGCTTTTTCAAAAAAACTATTTCTAATAACCCTACTATCATAGAACATAAATAATATAGCACACAAAATTACTAATACAATCTGAGAAAAAAAAGAAAAATAAATATGTCAATTTTAGGCAAAGCTGTTTCATGTGTAAAACTGCTTGGGAACCAAAGCTTCTGGGACAACTCTTCAAAGTTTCTTGCTGGGTCCTTCCATGCACCTTTATAACACTAAGCTTGA